ATGGGCGGACTCTTCCTGCCTGCTCCCTAATTCTAGTAAAAGCTGGAACTTCACCTCTTCCATGGCCAGTGCCTGGGCACCGGGGCAGGGGGCGTTTGCTGGTTGTGGCACAGCCTCCCCTCTACCCTCCTCCTTGCCCTCCCTCGGAGTCAGGCAGTGGGTTAGAGCCATGGGTAGGAGGAGCCCCTGCTGGGCCAAGGTCTGGGACACTGTACACCAGAGCAGACCAAAGCCAGACCACGGAAACGCCCGGCCAGGGGCAAAGTCTGGACGCCTGTGCCACCTTCAGTGTCCCTCCACCCAGTCCTCGGGGACCTAACCCTAGGTGTCAGCTGCCCCTGCGGCCACAGGTCCTGCAGGCAGGACCGGCCCTCCTGTGCATTTAGGGCTGTCTCCATCATCTCAAGGATGGGTGGGGGTGGGTGATGGGACATGGCGGGTGAGGTGGGGAAGGGCGAGGAGGTAGGGGCCGCAGTCACTGCCCAGCTGCCCTGCTGAAGACTGCTCTGCTGGCTGTGTGACCCTGGGACATGGAACGGTCTCTCTGGGCACCCTGGGAGGGGTGTGTGGATTCCAGCTTCCCAAGCTTTGAGGTCATGTGTTTCTAAGAAGCAGGCAGGAAACTGTCACTCCCTAGAGGAAGGCTCCCTGGGCTTGGGGATGCACGTGTGGGGCGTGCAGAGACTCCGCAGGGCGCAGGGTCCACAGGGTCTCTGGTACATCTCTGACTGTCTCTTTCAGAAAGCCGCTCCCCACTGTGGCTCAGGGGAACTAGCTGCTGCTTTCTTTCCATACTGATGAGCCTCGTCCCACCTTGTAAATATTTGATTAGATTTTTGAAAAATGGAGCCTGTGTTTGGAAGGCAGTGCCAGCACGTGCGGTGCCTTTTCCCCACAGTGATGGGCGGGGTGGGCGGGGCTCCGGGGCGGGCCCTGGGCGGCGGCCGGCTGCAGCCTCCCATGCAGCACCCCATTCCGCAAGCCTCACGCACCCACCTGCCAGCACCCTGTGGGGCTCCGAGTGTGTCCAGGACTAGGTCTTCAGGGGTCCCAGAGTCGAGCACTGGGCAGCTCTGAGCCTGCAGGGAGGGCCGCCAGCCGCTGTCCACCAGGGCGTTGGAAGAAGCAGCTCACACATGACTCGGCGGGCATGGAGGTGGCGTCTCTCTAAACGTAACACTTCACCAAAGTACCCCTTTCCTACTCTGATGTACTCTGATGCTTTCTCTTCCTTGCTTTTGGTTTTTGTTTTTAAATTGCTGTTACCACCTGGACCAGCATGTGGTGTGGTGGTGAAGGCGCTGGGTCCCACATGGCTGACTGTGCTGTCGAGTCCCAGACCTGGCTTTGAAAACGTCGGGCATGTGTGTGTGTGCACCCAAAGTCCCAAGAGGAGAAGGAGGAAAAGGGATTGCAGCGTGGCAATGGCTATCCCTCAGGGACTGAGTTCTCACTACCCTCTCTCTGTCTCTCTCTCACTCTGTCTCTCTCCAGTGAATGCAAGTACCCTATAGCAAAAGAAAAAAAGAAATGCTGTTGCCACTCAGCAAAATGAAATTGGAAAGACCCTGCCCTGGCCCAGGGTTTCTTCATTCAGGCTTCAGGGGTGGGTCTCAGGAGGGGGTCCATGAGGATGATAGTGGTGGTGGTGATGGACCTGGTGATAAGGATGGTGGCGACAGTGACGATGGTGATGATAGAGGTGGTAGTGTTAGCAATGATGATGGCAGTGATACAAGTGGTGAGAGTGGTGATGATGGCAGCAATGGAGGAGGTGATGTGATGATGGGGAGCTGATGGCGATGATGGAGGAGGTGATGGCAACGATGGAGGAGGTGACAGTGATGATGGAGGAGGTGATGGTGATGATGGAGGAGGTGATGGTGATGATGGAGGAGCTGATGGTGATGATGGAGGAGCTGATGGTGATGATGGAGGAGCTGATGGTGATGATGGGGAAGATGATGGATGTAAGAAAGGTGGTGATAATGATGATGGTGATGATGATGGCGAAGGTGATGAAAATGAGGGTGGTGTTGGAGGAGATGGTGGGGATGCTGGTGGAGGTGACAGTGGCAATGGGACAGAGGATGTCGATGTGTAGCCAAGATGCACTGAGTACTTACTGGGAATGAGGCGCTCTTTGAGTCTTTGTATACTTGAACTGATTTAATCCTTTTTTTTTTTTTCTTTTTGGAGAGGTTTTGCTATAGGGCGTGTGCACTTGTCAGAAAGACAGAGAGAGACAGAGAGACAGAAAGCGAGAAATCACCCCCCAGGAGGGATGGCCATGCCGTAATCCCTTCTCCTCTATTCTCCTTTTGGGATCTTGGGCATGCACACACTCGTGCCTGGGGTGAGTTTAAGCCACCGGGTCCAGGACTCGAACTGCGGTCGACTACATGGGAGTCCAGTGACATAGCCATTACGCTAACTGCTGGTCCCTGATTTAATCCTTTCAATAACCTTATTGAGGCAGATAGGATTTTTAAAATTTAAAGCGTGAGTAGGCCTGTGTGCTTGCAGGAGAGAGACAGAGAAAGGAAGCGATATAAAGAGGGGGAATGTGCAAAATCACTTCTGGGGGGATGACCATACTTCTCCATTCTCCTTTCGGAATCTTAGGCACACACACACACACACACACACACACACACACACACACACCTGACATGTTTTTCAAGTTGCTGGGTCTGGGACTTGAGCTGTGCAGTCAACCGCGTGGAATCCAACTGCCTTCACCACCACAGGCTGATGTAAATTGCCACCATTTTACAGATTAAGAGGATTTACAGAGAATTAAGTCAAGTCCCTTGCCCAAGGCCACACACGGAGCAGGGGCAGGGCCAGCCTCACTCCTGACCCTCAGGTTCCCTTGAAGTGTGTGGGAGAGGCGGAGGGGTGCCCCCAACGGCCCCCTGCCCACCCGGTGGCCCTCTCAGTCCCAGGTGTCTGGAATGGGGAGAGGTAGAGACAGAAGCTAAACTTGGGGTGCAGAAGGCCCCGGGGCCCTGCCCTCCCACTCTGTTTCTTCCTGACAGGCCCCTGCCCAAGGAGTGAGGGTCAGGCCCCTTTGCCAAGCCCCCACCTGTGCAAGGGGTCCTCCTGGGGCCCCTTATCAGCTTCCCCAAGCATAGGCAGGAGCCACTCCCTTGCAGCCAAGAGCTTAGCTGGCAGGGCTGGGAGTAGGTCACCCGCTGTGTCCCACCTGTGTTAGTAAGTGCTCCTGGAGGTCCCTGGGGCGCTCCTGTGCACATGGGGGTGGCGTTCCCACGGGCAAAGTCCTGCTCGTCCGTTAGCGGTGTGCTGGGGCAGCCAGTCCTCTCGCCTCTCTGGCATGTTCACTAAGCATTCGTCCCTCCTGGACTGGTGTCTGCAACAGCGGAAGGACCTTGACCCGGAGTGACCAGCCTGGCTGCCACCCTCCCTCTTCACAACCCACATCCCAGGAGACAGCACTGCAGGCTCGAGGGCCTGAGGAGCACCAGACCTGGGCTGGACGTGGCTTCTGTGACCCACTGTGTGACATGGGTACCCCCAACTCCTTGCTGAACCTGTCTCCCAGCCACAAACCTGGCAGGGTGGGGCTCGTCGGGGTTTTCAAACAGTGTTCTAGGGAAGCCCAGGTCCCGGCTGGAGCACTGGGTGACTGCCAGCAGGTGCAGGGCCGGGGTGCCAGCCACAGGGGCCTCAGGGAGTTCAGTGTACGTGAGGGGCTTGCAGGGCAGAGCTCAGCCCCACACCGCCTGCCGGGAGTCAGCGCGCTGGGCCTGAGCCCTGCCCCCCCCCCGCCTCTGAACCCAGCTTCCTCATCTGTAAAACAGGAACGAGGTAGTCCTCAATTCGCAGGGCTCTCGCAGCAGGCGAAGCTGTCTCTGGAATGTGCTTTGATGGGGCCTGGTGAAAAGGTGGGTGCAGAGAGGCTGGTGCTATTTCTGCATACTAACCTGGTCTGTAGCGGCGGCCGTGGTGGTGGTGGGGGCGGTTGTGGTGGTGCTGCTCGTCTAACTTTGGGCTGTACCCGTGGACTGGGTGGCTTACGAACAGCTGAAGTTTCTCATTCCGGGGCCTGGGAAGTGGGGTCAGGGGCTGGCAGCTCTGGTCTCCAGCGAGGGGCCACTTCCTGGTACCTAGACGGCACCTCCGTGCTGTCCTCACATGTGGAAGGGACAAGGTGTCCCGAGGCCCCTTCTATAAGAGCTCTGATCTCCTTCAGAGGCTCCACCCTCATGACCTGACCACTCCACAAGGCCCCACCTCCGAACACGGTCGCCCTGGGGGCCAGGTCTCAACAGGCCTGTTTTAGAAGGACGTTTTGGAAGGACGCAGCGTTCAGACCAGAGCAGTGGTGGTGGGGATGATGGCAACTTTGTGACGTAACGGCTCTGCTCATGGGGCAGGGTCACATAAAGACAGCTTCAGAGGGGTGTCCCTGTGACTGGGTGGGGCTGCTTCTGTTGCAAATGATGAAAACTCGAGTTGGACCCTAGAACCGAGGAGTGCGAGACAGGGTGGGCGTCTGGCTCATCTGGTCCAGCTTGCCCCGCGACATGCTAGCAGTGCCGAAGCTCACTGGAATGACTCCATCTTCTCTCCTCATTGAAAGAGACGCCAGGCTTCCCTCTGGTTGAGGTCTAGGTCACGCGTTCACCATTGAACCAGCTGAGAGGGAAGACTTGCATCGCGGGTGCAGGTCTGGACTGCCCCATGAGCCGGGCTCGTCCAGCTGGCCCTGTCCTTCAGGCTGGGTGGGCTTGGCCCTACCTGGGCTCCTGGCTCAGAGCTGCCAGTGAGCAGGGGTGGGCGTCCTCCTGCAGTCTGCTGTCCCCATCGGGCTCCGCTGCCCGCAGCTGGTCAGTATTCCAGAGGGCCCCGTGGCTCCCGCCTTGCTCTCGGTGGGCGTTCCCAGGAGCCTGCTGGTCCTGATGGCCTTGGCCCGCAACTGTCCCCGTGACCACCCCACTCCTGCCACCCCTGACCTGCCTGCCCTTCTCCTGCAGGCAGCCCTGGTTTTATGGCTGGGGCTTCAACCTCCCGCGAGGCCAAGCCCTGCTTGAGAAATGGAACCTCATTCCTGAAGGCGTGGACGTCCTGGTAACCCATGGACCGCCGCTGGGTAAGACTTGCCCGCCCAGGCTGGGGCTCGGGTGGTGACGGGGCCGCCCGGCCTGTGAGCCGAGGTCAGCCTGGCTGTTGAGAGGAGCCTGGACGGGCCATGTTCCGAGTCCAGTGTGCGGCATCGGGGACGAGTCACTCACTGTCCCCTTTACTTCCTGAGCACTGACTGTGCACTGGGGACTTGGCGTGTGACCCAGCGGACACTCCCAACACGGGGAGCCAGAGTGTCTGCCCACGTCGCAGGAGGTGGACTGGAGCTCAGGCCTCAGCTCTGCGGGCTCAGTGCGGTGCTGGCACCACTAGGACCCCGTCACAGGGCTCCCCACGCACCCCTCACCCCGTCAGACACCTGGGGCCCGCTCCCTCACCCACCCTGCAGCGGCCCCCAGCCTCTCCTCGCCCCTGCGTGCCTCCCACTTCCAGTCCCCACCCCTGCTGTCGCGTCTGGGCTTTCCCAGTCCCCCATCTCCTCAGACCGCATGTCCTGCCCTCGGCAAATTCTGCCTCCAGCTTTTGCCGAGCTCCTCCCTCTTCTCTGCCATGCCGCCCACCCAGCCTGGCCAGCGTCTCCTCTCTCGCTGCTGTCCACAGCGGCCTCGTCACTGGCCCCGAGTTTTGCCCCTCTGGTCACTCTCCTTACATTAGTAGGAGGGACCCTCTGTATCAGGGTGTGTCATCTCTCCTCTGTACACGCTGTGGCTCCCTCGGTCCTTGACATGAAGCTCAGACCCCTGACGGTCCTGCCCAGGCCAGCCTTCCGTGCTCGGCGCTGCCTCCACGCCTCCCTCGGTGCCGGGCTGGCCGCGGGTCTGGCCCTGGGCAGGGTGACGCTGGTCCCCAGGGCTGCCTCACATAGCGCCTGCCTGGAGGGGCTACAGGGGAGAGGGCTCAGGAGTGGCCAGGCCTGGAGGGACATGGGAGGTGAGTGAAGCTCAGGGAGTCAGGGGGAGAGACGATCAGTTTGAGGAGGCCTGGGAGGCCACAGAGGATGTGCCAGCAGAGCCAGATGTGGGCAGGGGGAGGAGGGGGCTCACACGCCTGTTGCCGTTCCTGAGCGCCTGCTGTGCTCGTGCCACCCCCACCCACAGCCCCTGACCCCAGGACACCTTCCCTGCGGCACCGGGTGTCGGGCTGTTTATAGTCAGGTGCTCAGCAAAGGCTGGTCCCTTCCTGCCTTCCTTTTTAACTGTAATTTTACTATAGGACACGTGTACCTCTGGAGAACTGGAGAGAAAGAGAGAGAGAGAGGGAGAGAGAGAGAGACAGAGAGGGAGAGAGAGAGAGAGAGAGACGGAGAGGGAGAGAGAGAGAGAGAGGGAGAAGGAGAGGGAGAGGGAGAGAGAGGGAGAGGGGGAGGGAGAGAGGGAGGGGGG